CCAGCCCCTTCACTTGTACCACAAACCACTGAAGCCCCGGGACAAACAGCAGGCCTCAAGGACTGTCCATGGGATTAACGGGAAAACCAAACCAGATCCTTCAGCAGCCTGCAGGGAGTGTCTCAAAAACATGGGTACTCACACCTAGCACCAGAACCTCGGGTGGGAAGAAGGCAGGCCCACTTCGGTCTCCTACAAGAAACCTCAGCCAGCTGGGCACTCAGTACTAATTGCTGTCAGCAAGTAGCCTGGGACTGGACATGATCTTCATCTCCAGTACTCTCAGGGCCTGTTTCTCCATGTGTAAAGCAAGGGGGTGGATGCAGGTGAAGTCCTGCATATGCCACTGAGGCGCCTCAGCTGCCTCACAGCACAGGTTTGGGGCACCCCCACTGCAGCCAGGCTGCTCTGCTTTTACCTACTTTAAACACCGTGGACCTCTGTAGACTTCTGTTAGTGGAAAAAAGCTTCCACTACTTTAAAAAACTGTTTGGAAAGTACTAGATTTCAGAGGTTTCTACTAGCTCTAAAATTATAACCTTGGCTTGGAGGAAGAATGCGGCCCGAGGACATAAAATGTAATGACTCATGGGATGCTTTTGCTGCCTCTTTCCCCACTGCCTCCTGCTTGGGTGGTGGGGAGAGGCCCCCACCCCTGCAGGCACAGCTGAGATGCTCTGATTCTGAGGAGTAGCCTGGCCAGGCTTTCCAGAGCTGCACCTGAGGATAGGCCCAAAGACTCTGGCTAGGGGCTTCTGAAACAAAGATGATCTCTAAGGGTGTCTGCACAGAGAAAGATTCATCATCTCCTTCTCCAACCTTTTAAGTTACTGTCCTAAAAAGAAGTGAAATGGAATGGAAGCCAGGAAGGATGGAGCACTAAGTTTTTGCACCCCAAAAACCAGCTGCCCAGTCTCTTGGCACTCCACAGTATCAGCCACAACCAGGTTCTCGGCTGGCTCAGCTGGGAGACCCGCCTCTGCTGCCCTCCACTCCCAAACCACCCAGACAAAGTGGTGTTCTCCCAGTCCTAAGACACCAGAGCCACAGCTCAACCAGCCACCTTACCACTCTGCAATAGGATCTCCCAAGTGCTGAAGATTTCTGCTCCGGTTCCTCAATTTCTGGTCCTCAGCAGAGGGGAGTACAGCTAGTCACTGTTCTTTGTGCACAAAACTTCCATCTACCAGAACACCTTATTAAAACATCCTTTCTTTCTGTCTAATTAATCCCAATGCCTTTATCTTTTCTTCAAGGGACATTCTCATTCCTACCTCACAAAAATATCTTTTAATCATCTTTATGGGTTTTCTCTGAACCCTCTCCAAGTTCTAAGGAGCGTGGGATAAGGTCCTAAAGATCTGTTTTCTGTGGCTACAGAGAAGAGGGGAGGAATAAGACGCTCTTTGTTGAAGAAAAAGGGGGAATAATGAAGCTAAACATGTAGAATAAACCAGATTTCTCTAGAGAAAACAGCCGTGGCCATTCCATTTTTGTTGAAATGAGATGCAAGAAGCAAGAGAAAATATACCATCTGCTATTAGAAGAAATGGCTTGGACGAGGCTCCTTTATTACCTGATAGGTGGCTATGTAGGAATGCCCATTTTTGGTATCATCGGATTAATTAAGTTATTATTAATTAAAGACAAAGCTCAATAGGTTAATTTGGGAGAGATAGGGCAAATCAAATGGCAGAAACAGGATCTTTAAAGATCCCAGAAAACTTACCTTACAGGCTAAAGCTAAGGGCACGAACTTCTGTGGGGATAAATGCAAAGTCTCACATTTTGGGCCCTAAACCCAAGCGCCCTGGCACAGGAAGAGGAAGGTACAGCCTAACAGACACACAGTAAAGAGGTGGAGGGTTTCAGCTGATGGAAGCTCTTGGTTTTATAATATCTGCCTCTTGCTGAGACGTGCATGTTCATTTACAAGATGGGCATCCAACAGCCACACTTGTACCATGTCAACGTGGTGGGGGGGTGGTTATGGCAGTCTTTAAAGATTTAAGGACCACCAGGAGAAAGAGGAAAGATGAAAGGTGCAGGAAGACAGGCTGGAGCTCAATGAACAGAAGGGTTTTCCAACCCTAACCACGGGAGCTGCAGTTTGCAGCGGACTTACCTGTGCCCAGCACTGGACTAGGCACTCTATGTATATGATTTCCAATCCTTACAAGGAGGAATGATTACTTCCCATCTATAGAGGGAGGGGAATGAGACTTACAGAGATCAGGTGACTTCCCTAAAGTCACCAAGCTCCTGATAGGGTCAGGATTTGAACCTAAGTGATTCTAAAGGCCATGCTCTTTCTACCCCGCCATGCTGCTGCCCGTATTTTAACACAGAAATATATTTAGCACTGAGTGCCTCCAGGGGCTGCCGAGAATGGCCTGTCACTATGGGTGTCAGGAAAAGCCAAGCAGGCACTAAGCGAGGTGCTGAGAAGGAAACCTGAGTACAGGGCTGGGTAGGACAAGCGGCCCAGAAAGTCTCTTCCAGCTCAGCTCGAGTGAGAACGACTGACAGAGAGCCAGAGGAGGAGTGCTGGCTCGGCTGGCTGGTGTCCTGACAAATCTGTCCTGAGGGCTACCACACAGGTCTGAGGCAGGGGGGATGGTCTCTGCCTCCCCTCAATGCTGACCACCTCTCTGGAGTCCTCAGGCAAATGGCTCTCACTACCAACCTTCCCTGCTGCTCTACATAAGCTGCCAGGTCAGTGTGCCCTGTGCTGTCATCTGCCTCCCACCCTCTCCACCTCCCATCCAGCCACTACACTCGGGTGAGGCAGCTCCTGTTGGCATGCATACTGAGGCTGGTAATGAATGTGTTTACTTCCATGGCCCTGGCCACTGCCGGGAGCTCTGGAGAACATCCAAGCAGAGTAAGCTGGCTGCCCTCCAGCCTGACTGAGGGGGTCCTTGGGGCACATTCTGAGGCCATCACACTCCAAGTAGACTGTGGTATTTTCCCATGTAGGAGGCTTGCTGTTTAGGGTGGCCCTGACCCTGGAGAGACCCTGCCCAGCTGGCTCCTGATGGCCTGGGGGAGAAGACGGGGACGGTGTCAGCAATGACTGAGGAGCGATGCCACCAGCCAGTGGAGCCAGGTCTGTTTCACACAGCACTACCCAAAGCCTGGGTTTCCCATGCTGAAGGAGAGCCTCCTGCCCTCCCACTGGCACCCAGAATAGTTCTTCCTCTGTTTGATTTATAAGATAGCAGGAGAGCTGGTAGGCTCAGAGTTGGAACAAAACAGAGGGAAGAAAAACGTCATGGGAAGCAACCTATTTTTGAAAACTGTGAGCTGATGCAAGGAGATTAGGTTCTGTTTGTCTTGGCTGATAGGCTTATTTTACAAAAAAAGCACAGTCACACACACATGCACACACACACATGCACACACATAAACACACATGCACACACGCATGCATACGTGCACACATACAATGCTCCTGCTGTCTGGGTCTGCTCAGGCTGTCTGGAAACATCTTGGCTTTGTTCAGCTCACCCCTGCTGCCAGGAGCTCAGCTCTGTCCACTGTAAACCCCCATCAGCAGGAATTCCAAGGCTGACACAGCACAAAGAGGCCTCAAGAGGCCCTCTCGGTTTCTGGGCTGACCTCAGATTCCTGTGCATCTTGGTAATGCCTGGCAGAACTTCTTCTACAGCTGGAAGCAGAGGCCAGCAAGGATTCTTTAAAGGGGGCTGGGTGTCATGGTGAGTGGCAAGTGGACAGCCAGACTGCTGAAGTGAGGAAACCTGGCTGGATGCAGGGGTCCAGAGTAAGGCCTGGGAACTCGGGGGAGGCCATTCTCCCCACTCGGGCTGGGCTGAGGGACCTGTCTTGGCTTCAGGAGTGGCCTGACACTGCAGCTTCCATTAATGAGCTCTCTCTGTCTGTCTCTTGCACTAAGCTGGGAGCTCTTCCAGAGCAGGGACTGTGGCTCATTCATCTCTGCCCCTTTCGGGCTCTGCTCTGCGCTAGGCCCACAGGAGGCCTCTAACCTACCTGTACCCCCACAGGAGCTAAGGGCTTCAGAGCGGATGGGGTTCGACAAAGAGAAGCTTGGGACCAGGCTGCACCTGGTGGAGTGCATTCCTGAAGGGTGGGTCTTGAGAGCTGAGCTTGCGTGGGCTGCCGGTGTGAGCCAAGGGTGACTTCGTGCCAGATAAAAACAGGAACAGCAGGCATGTCATGAGGCACTCTGCAACCTCACCACGCTAGCCTGGCTGCTGACCTGTTCACTCCAAGCACCTGGCCTCATCTGGTGAGATGTGGCACTGCCAGTTTACAGCATTCTTCCCTAGCCCTCCAGAAGGTCACTGCTCCTAAAGGCAGTGCTGCTGCTATCCTCTACAAAGTCCAGAGCGTTCTGAGCCGGGCAGGGAGAGGTCTGCTTTCCAGCTCTGGCCTGGGCTGGTTTGGGAAGTAGGCCTGAGACAGGGTCCCTGATCTCTAGTCTGTGGCAGTACTCCAAGCCTCCCTGCTCCTGGGGCCACCTTCTGCCATGTTCCCAGAGTACAGGGGCCAAGAGGTAGAGGAGACAGTTAGCAACAGCTCCCTGGAACCATGATGTGAGCAACTTCCAGCCTGGGAATCCTCAGCATTTCGGAAACGAAAGGAGCTTCAAGCTTCATCTCGGTCTTAAGAATGTCTTGGGGGTAAAGGGTGACTACAAGGGTTCCTACCCGCATTAAACGTTTAAGAGGCCCTGCTGCAAAATGTGTATGACATAACATTAAGGGAACAAAGCAACACACAAAACTGTATGCATAGCATGTTCTCAAGTACATTTAAAATATACATAGAAAAAAGTCTGAAAGAAAATGCATCGAAAAACGTGAGGCTAAGTGACAACAGCGTCCTCTAGCCCCACCCTGCCCCACTGCCGCCACCCTGAGTGGGGGCCTGCCCCGTGTGTGTGCAGTGTAGTGTCACCCGCAGGCCCCTGCTCTGGGGCTCAGGACCAGAGCTCCACAGCATGAGGTCCACCTCACCTGCAGCAACTCCAGATCGGATGAATCCTCCTGCCCAGGGACCATTTCTGTTAACATCTCAGACATGACTTTTGTGTTTCCTCGAACAATGTCTAGTTCGCTCCGCAGCCTGGCAATCTGTTAGGGGCAGGGAAGGAGGTAAGCAAGAAGGAGAGGTCAGTCAACCCTTGCCTGGAGTATCAGAGCACACTTGCTCTACAAGCAGGTGACAGTCCCATTCACTGTGAAATCTACGTCACACTTCTGAATGCGCGTCATAGGAGAAACCTTTCAGTCTCACGCCAATTCGCGAGCGAAGGTGGTGGTGGTACTGAGGAAGTCACGGACGGGAGGTGAGCTCATTCCAGAAAGCGCTGGTCACCAGAAGCCTGTGGTCCCTGACTGGCCCGTGACACCGTGGCAGAGGCTCTGCATGGTGGAAGAGGGGGAACTGAACTGGTTTTCAGACCTGGCTCCTCCATGATGTGGCCCTGACATGTCACTTGACCCTTGGACCTCCATTTCTGCTCTTTAAATGAAAGTGGTAGAGTGCACAGTCTCCAAGGACCTCAAGGACTGAGCTACCTCATGAACTCTGCGGTTACAGACTCAGTACCCTAGGAGTTTATATTCTAACTGTTACACTGCTCTGGGAGGCTGGCTGGTGTGAACTTCACTTTTCCGGTGTGGCAAGAACGAGGGCAGCTTCCTACCGGTTCCACAGTCCCTTGGAAAACTATCCAGCCTGCCTGTCCCAAAGGGGCAGCTCCCAAAGCCTGGCTCTGGGCTCAGGCCTGAGCCTTCTCTGCTGCACCAGGGACGCTGCAAGCCTCTTCTCAGTCTCCAGCACTCTGCCCAGATCAGGTCCCGCACCCTTGCCCACCATGAGGTGTTATAAAAGAATCTGCATAGAAATGCCTATCTGGTCCCACAGACATGCTCACTCAGGGGTAGGAGAACAGTAACACTTGACGGAAGTCGAGAGCTGTCCCGGACACCTGGAGAACACCAGAAGATTCCCGTGAGCATGGGGCTCTACTGCAGCCGTGACTCCAAAGATGGACCTTCGCCTTTCTGAGCATGTTTCCTCACCTACAGAAAAGTGCTGATAATAACTGCACCTCATAGGGTTGCTGTCATTACCTGGGGTTCAGGCCTGGCACATGTGTGCTATCAGCTCCCTCTCTCCTGCTGAGAATCCAGAGGCTGGTATGGATACCACTCTTCCTGACTTCTGACTGCCCAACAACATGTGCTCAAGGAAGCCTTTCCTGACACCCTGCCCTGCCCTGAGGTGGAATGACCACTCCCATGTCCCCCTCCTCACCCACCACTCCCTGCACAGCCTGCCATAGCAGTATCTATAGCAGCTGTTCCTGTACTCGTGGGCGCCTCTTTAGGGGACACGTACAAGAGACCTTGACAAATGTTTGCTGGATAGAGGGATGGATGGATGAATGGTCATCCAGGTAGCTGATCTAGGTCCCAAGAGACTTGGTCTCTGCCTTGGGCTCCTCCTGATAGATGGTCCACACTGCCCTCTGCAAAGTCTTGGCTGAGAAGATGCTCTGGTCAGGGAGGCACAGGAATGCTACGGTACCTGCCTGCCTCTGCTTCCGTCTTCCCCAGGGCAACAGGCCTCAGGGACCACTCTGTACTCCTCATGCCCTCTCACCCATCCATTCCCTCCTCTTGCTGTCTAGCTCTGGCGAGTGCTTTTCCAGAGCACCAAATCACTGGTGGCAAGTTGGTAAAAGGTCCCAATCACTGTCCAGCTTTCAAGACACTCTGCCCTCCCTCTGAGTAGAAGGGGGCACAGTTCTGTCCATAGACACAGGGTCTGTAGTCAGAGACCTTCCCAATGGCTTCCTTTTAGGGAAGGTCCTGGCCATTCTTGGTAACAAGGAAGGGCCGCGTACAGTGAACTGAAGCCCACAGCCAGTGTAAACCCGTATCTCAGACGTGGGCCTTGCTTCCTGCCCCTGAGTACACACAGTATTGGGTGACTCTCAAGAGGCCCTCTCCCTGCTGCCTGTCATGCTCACAACCGCCCAGTGGGATAAAAGGGGAGGGTCATCTCTGTTTTGCTGATGAGGAGCCCAAGGTCTCATGAGCTGAGCACAGCCTCTGGTAGTCAGTAGCCCAGCAGGGACACAGGCCCAGGCCTGTCGGACTCTGGCTCACTCTCTCCTGTTCACCCTACCTCTCTCTTCAGAGCTGGCAGGGAACTGCAAGGCCCTGGCACTGCATTTCCATTCACTAGACATAATCGCTTGGATCCCCTGTTTAAATGAGTTTCTATAATAGGGACGTTGTCACAATATTAAGTAAGGAATTTGAAAATATGAGCATTTGATAGATTTTTTTTCCAAGTCTGAACAATTCCCAAATTTTAACTAATGAAAATTCTATAGATTCATCTAAAAATCAGCCTTTACAATTAATCTAAAAAATCCAGTTTGGGATTAGAACTGAGTTAGCACATCAGGAAATGACATAGGGAAGATGGGCAGGATCTGGTATACAGGTGGACCTAACCCTAACCCTGACTTCAGCCACCACAGAGACCTTGCTGGGTGTGTCACCTGCCTCTTTAAGAGCCTCCAACGGCTCTCCTTTCTCACAGGATACATCTGCACCACTCTGCAGGACACGCAAGGCCTTCCACGACTCAGCCCCGCCCCCAGGCTTTTGGCTGCATCCTTTGCCATGGTCTCCTCTCCATCGGACCTTGCACATACCCCTGTTCTCCAGAAAAACCGCGTGCTGCCCAAAAGAGCTGGGCTCCTCTGTGCTTCCGGTACCACTTCACCCGACTGTCCCTACTCCTGCTTCTAGATCCCCATTGGTGTCAGGTCCCCTGGCCAACTGCCCTCCAGGCACTGCTGAACTCTGTGCTCACAGGTCACTTGTGCCTGCTCCTCACCGGGCAGACTGCACTGCATCATGACTGTCTTTGCATCTGTCCCCCTACTCTCCTCTGAGTCCTCGAGAGAAGGGAATGGCCCTTCCATCTTTGTGTCCCCAACACCTAGCAAGTTCCTGGCATGGGGAGGCCTCTATGGTCTCCTGGAAGTGTGGAAAAGGCCAGCCAGCTGGCTTGCCTGAGGCCTGGAAGTATGCAAGTACCTGTTCTGAGTTGGCTGTGATGGGGCCAGTCACACTCAGAGGCGGGGCCTGTGGAGCCGAGAAGGGAGCAGGAGGCGAGGAAAAGGAGCCGGCACTCGTCTGCGACTGGGGCCTGGGCATGGTCGCGGCAGGATCCACTTCGGGGACGCTCTGGCACGGCAACAACAAAGTCCTCTGTTCACTTAAACTGCCTGGTGGCTGGGCCAGAGGGCCTACCCCACCCTGGACAGCACCTCCCATCACCACTGCCTGAGTGAGGCAGAGCCAGCACTGCCACCGGCCTGACGAGGCTCACCTAACCTCTCAGAGCCATCTCTCCCTGATTAGGTGAGGCTCCCTGCGGCACCTCCCTCTGCTCTCCTCCACAGTCAGCAGAGCAACTCACGACGCAGAGGGAGATTCTCTGAGCTCTCTGTTGTGGTTCCCACTACTAAACTGCTGGGTCCCAGTGACGGGAGGGCTGCTAGCAGGTTTTGCTGATCATGAGTTTGTATTGGGTACCCTAAGATTACATTTTGGCCCTCACAGATAGGCTAATGGAAACAGTAATGTGCAGTGTACCAAGTGTCCCTTGTAGTTACAGGCACAACAGCACTGTTTCAGGCCTTTATTAGAAGAATGAAACAGGCAGTGGTTACTCCGCAGAGCCTGGTGAGCAGTTTGCAGGGATCATAATGAGAACAATGTTCTGGAAAGGACAATTTCTTGTGCTTTCCCTTTGGGAATCTCGGCTAACCTCTTGGACATTACCTCACCTAGTCCAAGAGACCTGCGCAGGCATGCTGGCCTCAAAGCCTATTTCACAGAGGGGACCAGCAAGGCCAGGTGTACTGGGATGAGGTGCCTTTCCCGGATTCTGGAGTTGTGCTGGCTCTCCCCAGGCCCCCAGGAGCTGGTCACCACCCATACCGGTGCGGGCTTCACTGCAAGAAGACAGTGGCATCAACTGCATTTATCTACTTCTAGGCACAGAGTGGCCCCTCATGGAGCTTGCCTACTATGGCACTGGAACAGCCCCAGTAGGGTGCCATGAGAGGGCCTCTCCTGGGCTTTGAAGCCCAGGCTGATAGAATTCAAGAGGGTCTGGATTGATGCTGAACACTCACAGCTCAAAGTAAACTTTAGCTCCATTTGACTCGGACAGCTGCCTGTGGCCAGTGACGTCAACCGCTCTGCAGCAGCCAAGGCGGAGGTGTTCTGGTGCTCCCAAGGGACAGATGATGGGGTCCCACCCAAACTCTAGGGGTCTCTGAAAAGCAACTGCTAATGGCACACACAGGAGGGTCCACCCAAGCAGCTGGGCCCATGAGACCACCTGAACTGATCTCTCTATTATACTTTTCCTCAGCCAGTGTGAGAACTGGGGGAAGACACTGCTGCCACTTAATCACCCATCAGCCAGCTGTCCCAGTCCCATTATTAAAAAGAAACACCCTTGAGTCTTAAGAACACATGATGGCAAGTAATTCAAATGGAGCACCAGAAGGGTGGTGGCAGTGGGCTAGCCAGTTCTTCCATAGGTCTTTCTAAAACATGCCAGCTGGACACTTACCCGCTGTGGTGTGTGTATTGGAGACAGAGCGTCCAAGTCTGCCATGGGAAACTCGACCCCTTTTCTCTTCAGCTCCTCGTATATGTGCACGACGCCAGTGAGGTCTGGACTGCTCCGGAAGGCATCTGCCCAAGCCTGGAGGGTGGGGGGAGAGGCCTGTTAGGAGTCATCTTTCACAGGTGTGACCATGGCGCAACCCTGTGTCCTCTCAGAGGCCAGTGCCCTGTTCCCTACGTTGGAAGACAAATCTCACTGGAAAATGGACTCTGCCTTTCCTCCTACGAGCACCACAGTGATATGGCTGGCAAGTTCTTGGTTTTCAATGGTGCCATTAAGCGTGAACAAAAACATAAAACTTAATTCAGCATGTACTATTTTCTTGGAGAAGCGACAGAGAAATAACACACAGCTCCGTGGTGCATCCTAAATGCAGGCATTTCCCTAATCGCAAGGAAATCTATTCCTGGTGAGGCTTAGCCAACAGGAAAGGAAGGGGCTGCCTCGTCACTGTGCCAGGGAGGTGCTGGGCTCAGGGAGCACTGCGCCCGCGCTGCCCGTCATCGCACCTTCTCTACACGCTCTAGTCGAGCACTGGCAGAGCCTGCAGGCAAACTGAACAAAGAGGAGAGAAGCTGATGTGTGCCATGAAATAAAGGCTGACTCTCTGCTTCCGAAGCAAGGTCTTTCCTCAGTAAACCAGAGAACATTAAAGCTGAGATTGCCACGCTCAGCCCCGTCACTGGACAGACAAGCCAACGGAGGCTCAGCTGGGAGAGCTCTGCCAGGGTCACACTGTGTGCCCAGCAAGCTCACCTCCACGCATCCTGACCCCAGTCCTGAGCTTCCTCCACTATGTCATGCTGCCTACCACGTTGATCTTCATATGCCCAAACCAAAAACTCCAACGGAAAGCACAACCACTAGATTCCCTTACGTGAAAACACAGCAGAGAGGAAATACCAAATATTCAAATGAATTGCCACTTATTTCTGTTGGTTCACAAAACTCTTAAAAAAAATTTTCAGATAGTCTGCTCTTTGGAAGTTACAGAATATATCAAAAAAAAGGTCACATAGTAAATCTGAAGGGCTCTTGAGAAATGGGGCCTGGGTCTTCACGTGCTACCCTGCCTATCACAGTACCCAAGGGGAAGGCAGGTCTTTCCGGCTAAGGTCCCATTAACCGGTTGTGTTAACGTCACTTGTGTTTAACTACCTCCCTGGCTCTAGCAATGTGTTCCAACCAATCCCAGGGCAGCCACAGAAATTCTGCCTCTAACCAACAGGCCCATATGAACTTAGGTCAGTTTCTAAAAAGCCTCCTCAATTATAACAGAAGCATCTCACTTATACAGCCATTACTACCAATCCAGCTTTTTGTGGCCCACTTATTTAATGTGCGTACTCAGGGGCTTCATGCCATCTCCTCCCCAGAGCAGCCCACCTTGACCAGCACCCCCTCTGGTTTCTGAGCAACCATGGGATGAGGGCTGAAAGTACCTGAAGGGGGCCACCTGGGGCTCAGAGGCAGCCAGCTCTGCCAGTGGCTCTGTCTCCAGGGAGTCCTCACGGGGCTGTCCTCCAGCCACTGCCTTGGCTGTCTCCACCTGAATCAGAATCCAGCTGTACCCCATGACTACAGCTTCAAAATGCTCAGGTGTTTTAGGTAAACATGACTTCCGAGTCTAAAGCTCAGTTTCACAGCCTACTGTGGGAGGGTGGGGAGAACAGGCAGGACAGTTCCTGTTGGTGCCATTTCATGCCTCTATTTCCACACAAAACAAACACCTCCAGAGCACCCCTTTCAAGGTATCTTGCTCCTGTCCCAAGCTAAATTTGAGATAATAGGACTAAAGACTAAAGAATCGTCACCATTCTCTCCATTCAGAGCATTTTTTTTTTTTGGTCATTGTTGTAAATGTATCTATTATATGACTTTTTCCAACTCAACTTTTTACAGGTGTACAACTTATTGATAGCAATTACAATAACCAGCTGTGCAACCCTACCCTTAATCAATGGAATATTTCCATCACCGTTAACTCCCCCCTTTCTCCCTCCTTCCCATCCCTGGTAACCACTAATAAACTTTGTTCTCTATACATTTGCCTTTTCGTGTCTTTTTATATAAGTGAGGTCATATAATATTTGTCCTTTTATGATTGACTTATTTCACTCAGCATAATGTCCTCCAGCTCCATCCATATTATAGCATGTATTAAGACTTCGTTTCTCCTACTGGCTGAGTAGTATTCCATTGTACCTATGTACCACATGTTGTTCATCTATTCATCTGTTGATGGATACTTAAGGTTGTTTCCACCTTTTGGTTACTGTGAATAGTGCCACAGTGAACACTGGTATACAAGTCTCTGAGTCTCTGCTTTCAAGTCTTGGATATACACCTAGGAGAGGAATTGCTAGATCATATGGTAGTTCTATTTTTAGTTTGTTTGTTGGTTTGTTTTTTAATCGTGCTTTAAGTGAAAGTTTACAATTCAAGTTAGTCTCTCATACAAAAATATATACACACATTGTTACGTGACCGTAGTTGCTCTCCCTGTACTGCGACAGCACATTAGCACGCTCCACCTTTCCACCCCAGATTTCCCGTGTCCATTCAACCAGCTTCTGACCCTCTCTGCCTTCTCATCTCAGCTCTGAACAAAAGCTGCCCATTTAGTCTCATGTATCTACTTGAGCTAAGAAGCACACTCTTCACGAGTATCCTTTTATGTTCCATAGTCTCGACTAATCTTTGCCTGAAGAGTTGGCCTCGGGAATGGTTTTAGTTTGGGGCTAACAGAGAGTTCAGGGGCCATGTCTTCTGGGGTCCCTCCAGTCTCAGTTAGACCATTAGGTCTGGTCTTTTTACTAGAATTTGAGTTATGCACCCCCCTTTTCTCCTGGTCCATCAGGGACTCTCTGTTGTGTTCCCCGTCAGGGCGGTCATTGGTGGTAGCTGGGCACCATCTAGTTCTTCTGGTCTCAGGCTGATGAGGTCGCTGGTTTATGTGGCCCTTTCTGTTTCTTGGGCTAACGCTTTCCTTGTGACGGTGTTCTTCATTCTCCTTTACTCCAGGTGGGTTGGGACCAAATGATGCATCTTAGATGGCTGCTCGCTAGCTTTTAAGACCCCAGATGTCACTCACCAAAGTGGGATGCAGAACATTTTCTTAATAAACTTTGTTATGCCAATTGACCTAGATGTCCACTGAAACCATGGTCCCCAGACCCCTGCCCCTACTACTCTGTCCCTCGAAGTGTTTGGCTGCATTCAGGAAACTTCTTAGCTTTGGTTTAGTCCAGTTGTGCTGACTTCCCCTGTGATGTGTGCTGTCCTTCCCTTCACCTAAGATAATTCTTGTCTACTATCTAGTTAGTGAATAACCCTCTCCATTCCTCCCCACCCTCATAACCATCAAAGAACATTTTCTTCTGTGTTTAAACCTTTTCTTGAGTTCTATAATAGTGGTCTTATACAATATTTGTCCTTTTGTGACTGAATAAATTCACTCAGCATAATGTATTCCAGGTTCCTGTATGTTATAAGATGTTTCACGGATTCATTGCTGTTCTTTATCGTTGTGTAGGATTCCATTGTGTGAATATACCATAATTTGTTTATCCGTTTTTCCACTGATGGACACCGACGTTGTTTCCATCTTTTTGCTATTGTGAACAGTGCTACAATGAACATGGGTGTGCAGATATCTATTCGTGTGACGGCTCTTATTTTTCTAGGATATATTCGAAGGAGTGGGATTGCTGTAGTTCTATTTCCAGCTTTTGAAGGAAGCACCAAATTGATTTCCAAAGTGGTTGTACCATTTTACATTCCCACCAACAGCCGCTCCAACATTTATTATTTTGTGTTTTTTGTTGGGATGAGATGGTATCTCGTAGTTTTGATTTGCATTTCTCTAATGGCTAATGATTGTGAGCATTTCTTCATGTGTCTGCTAGCCACCTGAATGTCTTCTTTGGTGAAGTGCCTGTTCATATCCTTTGCCCATTTTTTAACGGGGTTATTTGTCTTTTTGTTGTTGAGGTGCTGCAGTATCATGTAGATTTTAGAGATTAGACGCTGATCAGATTTGTCACAGCCAAAAAATTTTTTCCCAGTCTGTAGGTTTTCTTTTTACTCTTTTGGTGAGGTCTTTTGATGAGATTACGTGTTTGATTTTTAGGAGCTCCCAGTTACCTAGTTTCTCTTCTGGTGTTTGTGCATTGTTACTTAAGGTTCGTATTCTGTTTATGCCGGGTATTAGGGCTCCTAGCATTGTCCCTATTTTTTCTTCCATGATCTTTATCATTTTCAATTTTATATTTAGGTCTTTGATCCATTTTGAGTTCGTTTTTGTACATGGTGTGAGGTATGGGTCTTGTTTCATTTTTTTGCAGTTGGATATCCAGTTATGCCAGCACCATTTGTTAAAGAGACTGTCTTTTCCTAAATTAATGGACTTTGGGCCTTTGTCAAATATCAGCTGCTCACAGGTGGATGAATTTACATCTGGATTCTCAATTCTGTTCCATTGGTCTATGTATCTGTTGTTGTACCAGTACCAGGCTGTTTTGACTACTATGGCAGTAAAACAGGTTCTAAAAACAGGTAGTGTGAGGCCTCCTACTTTGTTCTTCTTTAGTAATGCTTTACTTATCTGGGGCCTCTTCCCTTTCCATATCAAGTTGGTGATTTGTTTCCCCAACTCATTAACAAATGTCGTTGGAATCTGGATCGGGATTGCGTTGTATCTGTAGATCACTTTGGGTAGAACTGACATTTTCACAATGCTGAGTCTTTCTACCCATGAGCAAGGTATGTTTTCCCACTTATGCAGGTCTTTTTTGGTTTCTTATAGTAATGTCTTGTAGTTTTCTTTGTATATGTCTTTTATGTTTCTGGCTAGATTTATTCCTAAGTATTTTATCTTCTTGGGGGCTATTGTAAATGGTATTGATTTGGTGATTTCCTCGTTGAAGCTCTCTTTGTTGGTATAGAGGAATCCAACTGATTTTTGTACGTTTATCTTGCATCTTGATGCTTTGCTGAAATCTCTTATTAGTTCCAGTAGTTTTCTTGTGGATTCTTTGGGGGTTTTCTGTGTATAAGATTATATCATCTGCAAATAG